CCAAAACAGGCTTCCAAGGTGATGGAATCTGCAAACCACAATATTACAAGATATTAGATGCACCAACATACATAGAAGGAATTCATGCAGGATTTTCCAAAAATTAAAAATTTAAATGATAATAAAACAAGACACCTGAACTGTGCCAAACTCGTCTGAACTTTCATCAACAGACGTCCCCACAAAATCAAATGATAAACATTTCAAAGAAAGAGCAAGGGCCAATTCTTGCAATTGATTGACAACTGCATATTATATAATTTCAACTCTTAAACTCATGATCAGGAAAAAGTAACGAAAATGGTACTAAATGGAGGGATGAAATTTTAAACATGAGTATACCCAGTTTACCATCATTCTTCAGTTGACCCAATGATGTTAAAGATATTTGAAATATCTGAAAAAGATGTTGGTCCCTAAAGGAGCAAGCAACCCTTCGATGATTTGTTGCAGGCATACCAGCATTAGCCTGAGGAAGGAATTAAGAAATAAGGGATGTAAGAACAATAGCAATGGTATAAAGTAATTTTGAAACATGTTTGCCAAATCAGTTTTTTAATTATTATTTATTAACACAAACCCATCCAAATGTGTCAGCAACCAACACAAACATTGGGAATAAGGTTAGCACAAATTTCAACGAAGACCTAATGAAGCATATAACATGACCAGTGCTTTAAACTAGTTAATGAATATGTGTCGGCATGAAAAATCATAAAAAGTACAATAAAACAGAAAGAAACCATTATATGAGCACAACTAAGCAAAAAATTTATAAAAAAAAAAAAAAAAAAAACTCCAATATCGTTGAAATACCAAGACTAATACAGGAATATTGAGAAATTTCCCCCAACCAAAGGCAAATACTTCCACGAACTTGAAAGGGTCATATTTTACTTACCTATGAAGCACATATACCTCTTTTGTTCAAAGTGTCATGGTGTAGGACATGTTTCAACATTGACACTCCACAACATGTCAGACATGTCCTATTAGGTGTCCAATTGAATTTTTTCTGTTTGGACACCTA